AACTCTGGTGGTCTCTGTCATTGCATAAGATAAATTCTTGTTGTGGTTCCACACAGTATCTGCCACCAGAACCATTAACTTTGTACTTACAGTACATGAATACAGTATCTATAGAATATCTAGATCGGGACCGCCTCTTTTAAAAACCTTTATATGGCCACGCTTGACTTATTATTCTTGTTGGCATGCCTGGCTGAAAAAGTAATCCTAAGTGTTCTGTCAGTGTTTAAAGGGCTCTTGATTGGTATTTCTTTAGGAAAGCCAACAAATTTGAGTCCTTAGATTAGCAAAAACTGTGTCTCCACTGTATTACTGTAGAATACATTAATGTACTGCCAGCTATACTCTAGAATCTCAAAGATCAGCATTTATGCATAATAAAGTAGTGAAATAGCAACTCATGCTGTATAAAAAAGACTATTACCCAAGCAGTTCTTACTGCAACATGTTGCATCACAGTGGGGTGTGGGTGCACTTGGTTTAAAGCCCTTTTAAAGGCCTCCTTTTAGCAAAGGAGCAGATTTGGCTCTTAGTGATAATCCCCTTGCATGAAGAGATGGCAAACATTAGAAGGGATATTTAGTCTGACTGTTGAAACTAGGTTACAGGGATTGGGAAAGGTGCCTAATTATAGTGGTTGCTATATGAAAAGTTGTGTGAATATGTCCATTTGTGTGCAGTCTTGCACACCAAACAGCATAAGGAAATTGTTTAAAGTGCCTATGGCATGCTTTTCTGTGTTTTCTGACTTATCTACAATGATACAATGATAAATTATCATCTTCAATGTGACTGAAAGCTCAAAAAACTAGGTGTACCTACTGTATGTTGTTGTACTTCTATGCAGAAGCAGCTCCGTTTATACAAATCTCACAAACTCTCAGTGACGAGACTTTTCTTCCAGTTATGTAAAGTCTTACACAGTAGTTCGTGGATTTCCTTGAATGGTCATGATTTCAGGCAGCTGTGCGTTCATGTGAGTTTGCCTGACATCCACCGGTGCCACTGTAAAGGCAGAATTTTTCAACTTTTTTGGGGGATATATTTTACCTCCTGTCTGCACTGTGACCTGAGGATTTTGTATTTGTCATTAACAAATACATCTAATGGCGTAAAAGAATGTAACAAGAAAATGAGGTCCTGTGAGCAAAGGTTTTTATCTTAGGTGTAACACAGAATGAAAAGTGCAAATATCAGACGCCAATGAAGACCAAGTATTTCTTGTTGAATACTTACACTATTAATATTATACTATTAATGTGAACACAGTGTATAATGCTTTTTCATAACATAAAAGTCAAAAGTATATTGCAAGTTGAAGAAATTCTTCCTTTATTATGTTACAAGCTTTGTGTGCTTGTTTGCACGAATTGCCAATATGCATGTTGAGTTTCTGAAAATGCCCTGACCATTGTGCTGCTCCTTACTGCTGTGTGTGTGTGTGTGTGTGTCATTTTGATTATGAATTTTTGCATATTGTACTGTTGCACTGTAGTTGCTAAGTAATAAAATTTACAGTAAATCTAATATAGAGAAAACAGTTCCTTTCTAGTCTGCATAGTTATTAAAAACAAAAGAAATACATCAGCTCTCACAGGCTTTGAATTCCATCTACAGATATAAAATAAAATACCATGGGAGCATATTGTATTTATTTTTGCATTAATTTATTTTTACACTCAATAAATCAGCGGTTTCTCTCTCCCTTGTTTGTTTCATCTCTGACTGCTGACCTGAATGTTTGACCTTGACCTTTAATGCCTGCGAAGAGCATGCAGCATGCAGCCTCCTCTGACGCCGTGAACCAGATGACATTCAGCAATGCAGATGCCCAGTGTCACAACTCTGACCCCCTGCACAATGTCAAACTGCAACTTAACCACTCCCAATCTCTGTTTCTACCTGAGAATGGCAAGGTATTCACCTGCAGACCACATAAACACACACAAACAAAAAGGAAATGCAGGTAAACATAAACAGAGAGAAACAAATTTTCACAAAAAAACATTGCACTTGTAATGTACATGCACATATACAGACAAATGAACACAGCTGACACTTCCTTCCTGTCCAGAAAGAAGCTTTTGACACACTCATGTCCTATCTTTCAGCTGGTCCACCAGTGTAGAGATTACTCCTGCAATGTGACCAACATCATCATGGAACCTCCATCTCCTCAGAGTTCCCCAGATAGTGATGGCTGCACACCGGTGAGACCACACTGCCTTTTACTTTCTTAATGATTATACCTGTACATGACAAAATTTCATTTTATTATGAATGTAATGTAACAGTTAAGAATTTAATATAATAGAGAGATAGGTAGAGTGGCTATAAAACTGGTAGCTCTGGTTCTTTATCTTATCAGACAAAACAATATGTCAGTTAGTCCAGTCCCAGTTTGCTGCCCACTGTCTTTATTATATCGTACTTGACATGTACTGTATAGTAAGTAAGTACTTTATAGTATTAATTCTATGCTCTTGCATCTTAAATGGGGCCACACCACAGTGGGAGATTTTAGAGCAGCTCCCCTCCTGCTATTTTCTGAATGATGCAACAGTCAAGTTAAATGGGTTTGCTCAGGATGCAGTATATTACAGAGAGGAAAAGCCCTCTGCTGTACTTTGCTGTTAACAGCTTGTCCTCACGTATGTACTCTCATTATTCAAGCCATTGTTGTCTCCTCTGAGTGATAACATTAGTGTGACAGTTTGACTATTAATGCTTGAATACACCAGTTTTTAATCAACTTTAAACTCTTATAATGTGACCTCAGGAGTTGGAGAAGGCAGGCCTCTTGAACAAGACAAAGATTGCAGAAGGAGGCCGGAAACTGAGGTGAGGTTCACAAAGCTGCCCCCATTAAAGACAAAAACCTTTTTTTAAATTTGCATCTGTCTTTATACATTAAGCAAATGAAAAACATGTTTTGGGTTGCAGGAAAAATTGGAGTCCATCCTGGGTGGTGTTAGTTGGGAACAGTCTAGTTTTCTTCAAAGATCCTAAATCACAGACACCTTCCAGCTGGGTAAGAGCTCAAACAAACCCTGTGTTCATTGGTTTCAGTTCCAATAATGTCTTTGCAATAAATCACTTGGTTTTTGTTCCAATATATCACAAAAGAAGGATGGAATGGCGGGTGGATGGAAATCATTACTGCATGAAGCTTTAAATTTCTTGATTACAAAATCCTCAGCTAATACGTCGTATGAGCCACTTTATAAATTCAGATGTTATATTTTTCACAGGGTGGATTTCTAATTTTAAAATTAAAAATTAGCTGACTCTAGTCCATTGCACAAAGACCAAAAAAGAAGCTTGTAGCACACCCACACCGAAGGTGACCACAAAGTTGTTAAAAGCATTTCCGTTCATTTTTCACTTTCCCCTCATGGGCCAATGCAGTAAAATGACACATTAACTCTTCTATTAATAAAATACGGAACCTTTTGTGTGTGAAAGGTGCGAAAATCACCAAAACTCCATTCTTAGACATCTACATCAGTTGATTCAGCCAACTGAACATTAGAAGATGCTTTTAAGAAAATCTGATTTTTTTTTTTGGTGCATACCTGCTTATCCAAAACAGAAACCAGGAAACAGTCGCCCCGAGAGTAGTGTGGATTTAAGAGGAGCACAACTGCAATGGACCAACGAGCTGTCCAGCAAGAAGAATGTCTTCAAGGTGAGAAAGAAGGGGAATAACTAAGAGAAAACCAAATTAAAAGAGTCTTTACAAAGCCTTATGAGCTAAAAATATCTCAAAGATACACTTGAATTAACTGTTGAGAAATTCAACAACTTCTTACTTATTAGATATGAACATAAAATGTTAAAATGTTCCAACTTCAGTGACTGTTTCATTTTTTTGTTTAAACACTGCCATGAGCTGATATACAGGGAGAATATAGATAAGTAGGTAGGTACTTTATTGGGAAATTTCAGTGTTTCAGCAGCAATGGAGAACAAACAACATGACACCATGAGAACAAGCATCGCACACACATCCTGATAATGTATGTATATATATATATATATACTGTACAATAAATAGCAGAACTAGGAATTTTATTTCTGATAGTGGAGGTTGTTTTTGGTGAGGGAAGTAAATTTTCTTTTGCTCAGTTACTCATCAGTGAGGAAGAGGAAGCAGTAAAGATGAATTCTCCAGTGAACGGCAGCACTTTAGGTGTAACTGCAAGTGCTGCACTGTCTTTAGAATCAAGAAATGTTGGACTAGTGAGGTTAACAACTGCTACCTATTGTTGACATAGGTTGGCAAAGTGGTGTGAAACATATATACTTAAATCCTCATTGTTGGAGCTTTGGGCCCAGTTCATCATGCATTAATACGATTGGTTAATGTTTGTGTTTCAGCTGAGAAAAAAAAAATTCCTGCTGCAGTCGGAGACGGATTCTCTGATCAGAGAATGGTATGACACCATCCAGAATGTCATCGACAGGCTGGTGAGACACAAACACACACGCAGTTGTACTTTCAATTTACCCCTTCTCTTATAGTGGCTAAAACGGGTTCTTGTTTCAATCCAGATAATGTCATACCCTCTGTGTATAATGTATATGATCTCCACTGCCTTTTACCAGAAATCAGAAGTTTTATTTTAGCTCATTACAGATATATAGATACACAGTATGTCAGTCAGTAAGTAACAAGATGTTACAGTGATTTAAAAACTGGACATAGTTTGTCCACAAGAAAACTGAAATGACTTGCTCACATGTATTTTGGTCATGAGTATAACATTACCAAATTCATGGGATCCTTCTCCAGACTGTTTCTGTTACAGTATGTGTTTTTGTTAAAGCTGTGCTAATCAATATTTTTTTTGTTAACAATAGATCAAATTACAGTGTGAAAAGTATCGCTCATAGTAGCAAATCTAGAGAGAATCATCATCTGACTCTGCAGTCTTCATGAGCTAGACTGTTTTGGTTCATTATCACAATTACACGTAGCACCGTTCTCAGTGACATCAGGGTGCTGGTTTTAGTAAAAGACAAGGCTAAATAAAAACCATTGTACTCTCTCTATTCAGTAACAAATGGCAGGCAGAGTCAGGGGCCAAGTGGCCAACACAGTAGAACATTTAGCCACTAAAGAATCATATATTTGCATCAGGAGTTGGTGGAGACCAAAACAAAACTAAAAGGCAAGTGAATGTTGAACTCACTACATGGGCAGCAACATGACTCTAAATGAAAACAAGTGTAGGCTGAAAATTTTTAGTTGATTTTTTTAAACTTTAAAATATAAATACTGACTCCAAAACTCTGCATCAGTTGCATCTTTTTTTTTTTTTTTTTTTTTTTTGGTGTTCTGCAATGTGTAAATGTGTTTCCACTTCTGTGCTATAGTTTTGAAGTTTTGAGAATCCAATTTATAATGTTTGGATATGATGAAATTAACAGTTTCCCTCCTCCTGCCTTCCAGGACCGTGAAAACCCATTAGACAATGTCCTTCTGTACTCTCTGAGGAGAGCTGGCAGTGTAGAGATGTTGGACCACAGTGGAGACGAGGATGAGACGAGAAAATCACGTAAGTTATCACCACATTATGCCTCACATCACTCCGTCCTGACTTCTTCATGTGACCATCACACACAACCGTCACAGCCCTTCACTCCAGTTTACTCGAGCCTTTTACTTCATCAATCATCACTTTTTTTTTTCTTCAAAATTCCATACAGGCCTCTTACATCCTTCCATCATTTCCTCCATCCTCTCCTCCATTCAACCTACATATATTTTCACACGGCCTCCATGGCAAATAATCCTCCCATCAGTCCTGTCTCACCTCCGTTGTCGTCCAGCCCTCCCGCTTTTCATTCTCACCACCATCCCCTCTCATCTGCTCTCCTCTCCCTCAGCCGAACACTCGACACTGACCTCCTGGTCCACTCCCTCCTCCTTTCCTCCCTCTGCAGTCCCTCGCTCATCATCTAACCTGGAAAATACAGAAAGGAAGAGAGTGAAGACCCGGCTGAAGAAACTGATCCTAAAACGACCTACTCTGCAGGCTCTGCAGGAGAAAGGGCTCATAAAAGGTGAGATTTAGAAGTTTTAAGCTATTTAAATGCATGTGTCCCCTCTATTCAGTTATGGGTTTCATTGTATCAAGTGTGAGCTTACATTTTTGCTGGGAACAAAGTGAAATGTCCAGGTTTTCTCTTGGAGTGAACAGAAAATGTATCAGTGGATTAACTTAAGCTTGTAGCTCTTACATCATGTCTGTTATCTGAGAAAAACACATCTGAACACCCATAAAAATGTGGTCGTGTGTGTGTTTGTGTCCGTCTGCCATCGGTTTTCAGATCAGGTGTTTGGCTGTCGTCTGGAGATGGTCTGTGAGAGAGAGAAGAGCACTGTCCCTCGCTTCGTCAGACTTTGTACCGAGGCTGTGGAGCGGAGAGGTACAGACACTGCAGACAAACAGCCGGCTCCTGCTAATGTGATCCTCACCTAAAAGCAGGCGCATGAGAAAACACCCTCAATCCTGTTTTGACAGCAGTTCTGCACCTGCTATTCATCTCTGTAAATCGTCAAAGAGAAATTTACAGAAAAATGTTTTTGATTGCCAGAAAAACTTTGGCTCAAACACACAAATTAAGAGAAGGCCTCATGACAGCTGCCAGCCAGGGAGAGATCTAAATGAAAGAAAATGGAGTTCTTTGGAAACACTGCTGTAAATAAATATTTAATTCACACTGATTCTGTTTTGACCGCAAGAGATTTAAAAGCTTGGTTTTTATTCATTTAAATATTTTTAGGGAGCAGATTGAGACATTTACATTCAATGATATAGCAGTGTGAAAAACAGTTCCTGGCAGTTCAGAATACAACAAACTGAACTACAATAGAACTACATAGTACCTCAAGCAAATAGGGAACATATATACTGACTGGCCAAACCAGTAACACATACAGGGAATGTACAAAGACCTTAACTAAATAATCTACCAATAAACACTAAACAGTCTGCTAATAACTTAATATTTTTATTAAAAGTAAAAAAAAAAACAACAAAACATGACAAGTTAAGTTTTAACATGAAATAGAAACAAATGAACAATATATTTCTCCCAAATCCCCCCTTCCTGTATTGGGCATTTGGTGCAGTCCAGGTTTAGTGGGAGGTATTTAAGCCCGCTGCCGCCTCAGTCCGATCTTTTGGTCTGGATAACCCCTATCCCTGGGTCAGAAACATGGTAACTTTAAAGAAAAAGAAAGCTTACACAAATTAGCAATGTGTTGGTGACATAAATTAATTGTGTATGTCTAAAACAAATATCAATTCAAATGCTGAGAATGTACCTATAACTTAAATCCACACATGTGAACAAAGAAAAATAAATGAAAGCAAGAATAAAAAACACAATACCCGACTAATTCCACGGCTGATGGTGGCTTAGGCCTTCATGTGGTGAAGGCCAAGGCTGAGGCCTTCACAGTCAGCTCTAAAGTGGGGCACGTTCATATCCACTGTATAATGTTTTTCTGGCAGGTCCACTGTTTTTACTCTGTGAATGGATTTTTTTTGCATATCGACTTGTATGAATTTTAATATGTTGTACATTTGTATGGCTGCCATCTTGGCCAAGTCTTCCTTGAAAAAGAGATCTAAATGTGACAAGGTGTGCTTTTATTTAATTCACATGTTTTTGGGGACTGATGCAGCAAAGCAAACTTCATAGGCACACTGATTTATTGATGTGGAGAGCATGTGACTGCCAGGGCCAGAAAACAATGAAATTATAACCTTAAGTCTCAGAAGATACAATATCTAGACACGCTCCTGGAGATCCTGTCTCTAACTAACACTGTGTGGTATACCTTATGTTGCAGGGCTGGACACTGACGGCATCTACAGAGTATCTGGAAACCTGGCAGTTATTCAGAAGCTACGCTTCCTGGTGAACCATGGTGAGGATAAAGGGGGGGGGGGGGGGGCGGGAGACACAGGGGGG